GAAACAATAAGATACCTGAGAAACAATAACAACCCAGGCCCAAACCAAAATGAAGGACAGAAATCATAAAGATTAGAACAGAAATCAGTGAGATTTAGACTAAAAAATACAAAGAATCAATGAGCAAAAGAGCTGGTTGTTTTGAAAGAATTACGAAAATACCAAGCCTGCTAAAAAACGTATACACACTTTGGGAAAAGAAAAATAGTATGTTTTTTCAATGATGGTGTTACCCTTGTGTAGGAAATCCTAGAGGCTGTTCTGTATCGTAGAAAACCCTACTACACTGCTGACAAGAAACTGATAATGCGCATGCAACGATCTCAGCGCTCACTGAGGAGTTTGCTGTACTAACAAATGTGTGGAAGCCGATGGCCATCACTCTGAGCATCTCTTGTAATTGTAGAGGCCAAAGGTATTATTCTCAAGATGTCTCAATAAATTTAGTATTAAAATATTTATACAAGGTTTTCTTTGCCAGAAGTATGTATACATGTTTTTTGGGTACTCTGACCATAAACCTTTTGCCAAATTTACCAAGAGAAAAAGAGAGAAAAGATTCACATCAATACAATTAGAAAAAGAAAAGTCACAACAGACACAGTAAAAATTCAGTCGATGGTAACTACTATGAAAAATTTTACTCCAAAAAATTGGAAAAATCTTGGAGAAATAGATTCCTAGCGCCATACAAAGTACTAAAGCTAACTTAAGAAGAAAAAAAGTGCTGAACAACCCAATAACAAGCAATGAATTTGAGCCAGTAACAAAAAGTCTACTAACTGAAGAAGTCCAGGATCAGATGGATTCACTGCTGAATTCTGCAAAACCTTTAAGGATGTTATATTACCTATACTTTCAGGCTCTTCAAAGAAATTGAAAAGGACAGAGTGTTTCCAAACTCATTCCTGGAAGCCACCATCACTTTGATCCCAAAACCAGATAAAGATCCAATTTAAAAAAACTATAAGCCAATCTAATTAATAAATATTAATGCAAAAATACTCAATAAGATATAAATGAATAAGATGCATCACATCACCAAAGAGATTGCACACCAAATAGTTTACATACCACACATATAAGGATGATTCAATATATACAAGTCAAATAAAATATACCACATAAACAAAAGCAAGGACAAAAATCACACAGGCATATCAATAGATGCATAAAGGCTTTTGACAAAAGCCAACACACATTTATGAGAAGAATCCTGAAGATAATGAGTATAGAAAGACTGTGAGCTATTATGACAAATCAATGGCTAATATTATGTTAAATGGAGAAAAACAGAATATGTTGTCTCTAAAATCAGGAAGAAGACAAGGGTGCCCCTATCACAACTTCTTTTCAACATAGTACTTGAAACATTAGCCAGAGCAATCAGGCAAGAGACAGAAATAAAAGGGATACATCTAGGAAAAACTCAAATTACCATTATTTGCAGACAACATGATACCCTCCATAGAAGACCCAAAGAATTCCACCAAAAAACCCTTAGAATCAATAACCATTTTTAGCAATGTGGCAGGATATAAAATAAACACATAAAAATCAATTGCATCTGTATACAACAATAATGAACTCATTGAGAAGAACGTATGAAAACAACACCATTTATGGTAACATCAAGAAAAATTAAGCACTTAATTTTTAATTAACCTAACCAACAATGTAAAAGACCTCTACTAAGAAAACTACAATATTCTGAAAAAGGAGATTTAAGAGGACATCAGAAAATGGAAAGATGTCCCCTGCTCATGGATAGGCAAAACCAAAATAATCAAAATGGCCATACTCCCAAATTTAATGCAATTCCAATTAAAATACCAATAACATACTTTATAGAACCAGAGAAAACAACCCTAAAATTCATGCAGACCCAGAAGAGATCTAAAAGCAAAAGCAGTCTTGGGAAATGAGAAAGCAGAAGGCTTCACATCATCAGACTTCAAGCTATACTACAAAGCAATAGTGATAAAAATAGCATGGTACTGGCACAAATGACAGACATGCAGATCACTGGGACACAATAGAGGATGCATAAACATCCCCAGGAACATTCAGTTATTTGATCTTTGACAAAAGCATATGATGGAGGAACGATAGCTAACAAATGGTGCTGGGAAAACTGGATATCTGCAAAAGACTGAAGCAGGATCCCTATCTCTCACCATGCACTAAACTAAACTAAAAATGGAACAAAGAGATAAACATTACAACAGAAATACTGACCCTAGTGGGAGACAAAATAGGCAAAACATTTGAAGTCATGAGCGTGAGAAAGGATTTTTAAAGCAGATCTCCAATGGCACAAAAAATAGTAATGAGAACCAACAAATGGGATTACATCAAATTAAAAATCTGAACAGCAAAGGAATCAGCTAGTAGAGTGATGAGACAACCAACGGAAAGGGAATTTTTTTTTTTTGCCAGCTAGTCCTCAAAATATATAAAGAACTCAAAAAAATTAGACAATCTAAAATAGAAGACCCACCCAGTCAAGACATGGGGAAGTGAGATGAACAGACACTTCTCAGAAGTACAAATGGTCAACAAGTATATGGAAAAAATGTTCAATATGCCTGGCCATCAGAGAAATTCAAATTAAAATAATGCAAAGTAAGGCAATCAGAGACAATAAAAAAGAATGGATAAGAAGGAAACAGGAGGACAGAATGAGGAGGGGTCCAGGAACAAAGGGTGAGGGGAGAAAGGGAGGGGCAGGCAATGTAAGTAGAATTAAGATATGTCACATACACCACACTGATAACCCCAATGAATGTAGCCATTACACGTCATAAACACGAGCATATAATACAGCAACAAGAATGAAATGGGGACCTTCCTTTAGAGGCAGGGGAGGGAGGAGGGGAAAGAGGACTAAAAAAGGAAGCTGGATTATGTCCATGTATGAGACAAATGTAAGCATCATGTGCAGCAAACTTGCGAAAAAGAAAAAAGAAGGTGCAAAGTCAGCATAGCAGTATTTCATCAAGCAGACTGAGAGCAGAGAAAGCTGATTTTCAGAGATTAAAGCAAATGCCCGAGGCAGAGTTTCAGAAGACCACTTAGCAAGCTCTGCCTCTCAAGTTCCAGTGCACAATTTTTCCTTGAGTCCTGGTGTCTCCTAGCTCTTGGGGTTCAATTTTAAAAACTCTATATCCATTTAACGAATGAATCGTTTGCTTTGGCTCATTCTCTGGACCTGCCACAGCGGGCAATGGGTCTGTGATGTCAAAGAGCATGAGCAGTGTGTCCCACAGGACAGGGGTCTCTGTGCTCTTCGTTCATCCATTCACTCATTCGTTCTCAAAGTTTTGTGTAGTGTATATCATTAATGGCTGAAGATTGTAATAAAAACAGTTTTTGTGCTTGCTCCAATAATTGATTTGTTTTGATTTTTCACTTTTAAGGTGGTTGGTTGTGGTTGGGGGTTGCTGATAGACTGTAAAATGCCAAAATTCTCTTTTTAGCTTTTGGGTTTTTTTGGAACTCAAAACCTAACCTTAGTTTATTTAGGGTTGATAGATACTAAAGTACTTGGAGAACTAGAGGGCTAAGCACATGTTTTTCATGGGTTGTACCTAGTACTTAGCATTTGAGTTAACTGGCTGAGAGCATTGGCAGAGATGTGTATTACATGTACTCCTTAGAAAGAAAATCCTTGGTTCAGGAATAAAAGAAGTCTTAAATCTGTTTAGTTTAGCCAGAGATGTGCTCAACAAATTTTACATTAGCTATGAATTTATTATATTGTACTTTATTCTTTGAACTAAACAATAGTTATGAGGTTTCTAATTTTAGGAAAAGATCCTCTTTTGGAACCAAAGGATAAAATCACTTCAAACAATAATTTAGAGTTTCTTAAGAAGACAAGTAAACACAAACCAGCTGAAACAGAAATAATCCTGAATAAATGAACTCCTGTGCCCCTGGGATTGGCCCGGGCATTGGGTGACTATGTGGCTGGTGAGACTTGGCTGAAATTCTGTGTCTCAAATGTCACTGACGCAAGAGAGCCTCAGATCCTCGTTTCAGAGAATGTTCATTTTCAAGGACCCAGTATGATATTTACCTTTCTAGGATGAGACTTGGAATTTATAGCTCTCTAAAAAGAAATCTGTTAAATGCTCACTGAGGTTAATGGGTTAAAAACTCCTGTTTTGTTGTCCTGGAGTCTAGTGTTTCTAATTTCGAGAACAAGATAGCATCTAGTATGATAAAAGATTAGAGACAGAAGATGTATAGAAGTCATGCTGATGATTGAGTGTAGATTTTAAACCATGCATGGTTGTACACGTCTGCAATCTCAGCATTTGGGAAGCTGAGGCAGGAGGATCACCATGAGTTCAAGGCCGGGCCAGCCTGGACTAAGCAGCCTGAATTATATAACAACACTTTGTCTCAAAGAGAAGGGAGGGGAAAGAGACAGAGAGAGGGAGAAAGAGGAAGAGAGAATACAGATTTTGGAGAGCTGGCTGGTATTTAGCCTCTGTGTGTCTTTTGGAAAGTTGCATCAGTCCCTGAATCATACGTGTAAGATAAAGGTTAAGATTTTCTTTCTCAAAGGGGACTAAGAGGATTAAATAAATGACATAAATAAATTGCCTAGTGATTTTCTCACAGTCACCCAGCTAATCAATGCTAGATCCAGGTTCCTTAGGTCCCCATGCCTCCATCCTTATTACTGTACTTGCTACTTTTTGTGGATTTTAAAAGTGAAATCAATACTAAAGGAAATCCTCAGTATTGTGGTCTTTGTAATTTGATACATTCTCTTTTTTAAGAATCATAAGGATTGAATGTAGGGCCTTATGCATGCTAGGCAAGTACTGTACCACTGAACTACATCCTCAGCCCCTGGCCATGCTCTTTTTCACATCATCTTCAATCAAAGTTTATCCAACTAACATCCCTCCTTATGACTGCAGTTAATAGGGGATATTACTGTCAATCCAAGAAATTTCTTATGAAGCCTTTTAAATTCATCTTACTTGAAGTCTTCGTGGTGGATGCCTTTTAATAATACTTGTTTCTCCAGGTTCCAGTGGAATGTCAAAACACATGGCCCTGGATGCTAGAAGGATTGGAGGAGAAACAAGTATAAACCATTAAAAATAATTAAATTAGGCACTTAGGATGATCATTAGTTAGTAGGCTTTATTAACACATTCTGTACATTTTCAATTATATATGTAACCTATAGGTTGAATGTGAAGATGAAACACATAAAGTTGGGTCTCTACATGAATGCAAACAATAACATGTGAGTCAAATTTCTGCTTTCCTCCTTTTCTGCCCAGTTATTTTTCAGAAGGAAATAAGCAGAATTGACAATGTATTTACTACAAATGTTACTCAAACACAGATTTGACCTGGGAAATAGAAACTTTAGATTCATATTAATTCCATGAAATTTTATCCCCCAAACATATAAAGTCAGAAAAAATTATTTTAAAACATAAACTACACCTTTTCAGAAGAAACAGGAAGTAGGTGGATACATGATGAGATGGAGAGAGATGTGACAAGGGAATGGAGCATGAGCATGAAGTAGGGACCCACAACGTGTAGCACTGAGTGATGACAACGAAATAGCTCCCCATCTAGGGAGAGTCCCACAAGTTCCACTATAAGACAGTACAGGAAGTATAATAATCTTTGATGAATGTTTGATTTAAAATTTATTACTTAAAAGACACATTCTCATTAATGCCCTTTATAATACCCTCTCTTGCTTCAAACACACTAAGGGAAACTGAGGTTGAATGGGAAAGGGAAGTTGGATAATGCTAGCAACAACTTCCAGTAATGCTAAATGCCATGTGACAAACGAGAATTTATATGAACTCTGAGGATTTGCAAATTAAGAAGCAGGATTAGTCACTGCTTAATAAGTGACTTCAAGGACAATGGCTCTAAGAAGTTTTTACTGAAATTCTAGGGGTGAGGATATCCAAAAGAGGCAAAGCTCATCAGATGCACAAGCTCATTGTAGGCATAAAAGACTTGAATGGCATGTGTCAAAAACAGATACACAAATTCATAGATTCCAAGCTGCAATGGGGTAAAATCATTGCTTATAAACTCCTAGGAAATGTTGGATTTTGTTATCTAACTGTAAAATCTGCTCCTGTGGCTAAAGGTGTCAGGTTAGTACTTACCACAGTTTGTCAGTAGATAGGCTGTTCTTGATGCTATTGTTATTGCTAGCTGTACTATTTTAGCCAGGATATCATACCTGTTATAATCAGTTTCTTTTCCTTGTATGACAACACTGTAACTGTTTGAGATCATAGTCATTACCATAGTTCAATAAAAATGACAGGGTATTGAATCAAATAGACAGCAAGTTCTCATCTTTAATGAATTGGGAATGTAGGTTCTTGGGATTAGACATAAAGACTAAGAACTGCCTACATCTAGAAGACCACTCTGAGGAGCAGACATTTCCCAGGGGATCCTCAATACTGGTAATAAATCTATCTACCTTAAGACATCTACAAGCATGAACACATAAAATAAAATAAAGCAGAAAATAGAAAATGGCAAGATGCAGAAGTAAAATGAACCTGCAGACCTTCAGTTCACCAAGGACAAGTCCAGAACACAATGAAAGAGAAGAAACAGGGAAGCACCCATTGGAAATTTCTGAAATGGTAGCAGCATAAGTGAAAAAAAGTGGAAGACACTGTAGAAAAAAAATAATCTCTTAGGTAAAAGAAAGAAATGATGATCAAAATGAAAGACATTAGAAGGGACACAGATTTTTAAAAATAGCATAGAAAACAGTGGATGCCATGAATTCTCAACACAGGAAAAAAATGGAATCCATGAAACAGATCCAAACAATATCAGGGAGATTTAAAAACTCCACTGAAGTATATGGGACAGATTTAACAAAGGCAAGGATAGAATATCAGATCTAGAAGACAGGAATCCAGCTAACGACCACATCCTAAAAATAGCAAGAGACCATGAAAAATCAATCCAGCATCTGCAAGGTGAAGCAAAGAGCAACATTAGATACATTGGAGTCAATGAGAAAACTGGAGTTAGCACAAAAGCCATTTAAAAAAACCTCTTCAAAGAAGTAATGGCAAAAAATGTCCCCAAACATGGATAAAGAATTTGATGTACAAATAAATGAAGCATAGAAAACTCCAAATAGCCATGACAAAAATAAATCTATACCAAGTCATATAATAATCAAGATTCCAGAAATTTAGCACAAGAACAGAATATTAAAAGTAACTAGAGAAAAGAAACAAATCACCTGTAAAGGAAAGCCCATTAGAATCACAGAAGACTTCTAAACATAACCCTCAAAACAAGGAGAGCTTGGAGTGAGGTGTTTCAATCCATAAAAGGAAACATCTCCTGTCTAGATTTGTGTACCCTGAAAAACTATCCTTCAAAATCAATGGAGAAATAAGATACTTTCATGACAAAAAAGGCTGAACAAATTCATGACAACCAAACCGGCTCTTCAAAATGCACTGGAGAATATATTAGAAAAAGAAGACCACAAGCAGAAAAACACCAACAGAAAAAGTCACCAGGCAGGGCAGACAGTTAATCAAAGGAGAAAGACACGGAACCAACAACAGGAAAATAAGATGAGAAAGATAAACTAATACATATCAGTTACTATCATCACTGTAAATATTCATAATTCACCAATCAAAAGAGACAGACTGGCAGAATGGATCAAGAAGCAAGACTTAGCAATACGCTGCATACAAGAAACACACTTATCAAAAAACAAATTCATAGACTGAAAGTCAAAAGATGGAAAGCAATACTCTACCTCACAGGAACACAGAAAAAGTGGGGATAGGTATTCTAGTCGCAGACAATGTGAACTTCAAGCCAAAACTAATCAAAAGAGATAAAGAAGGTCACTACATACTTGTTAAGGGAAAATTCGAAGAAGAAGGAATAACAATCATAAATATGTATGCACTAAATACTGGTGCACCCAAGTACATAAAATAAATATCGATGGATATGAAAGAGCAAATAAGCACTAACACACTTGTAATAGGGCATAGCAATACCCCACTATCACGGTTCGATAGATCAAGTAGATAAAAAAAATCAACAAAGAAATATGAGGACTAAACCAAACCTATGAATAAATGGACTTAGTAGATGTCTGCAGTGTATTCCATCCCACAACATTAGAATACACATTCTTCTCAGTTGCACACGGAACATTCTCCAAGATGGACCACATACTAGTCCATAGAACGTGCTTAAGTAAACGTGGAGGAACTGAAGGTATCACAGGCATATTATGTGACCATAGCTCAATGAAAATGGAAATCAACAGCAAAAGAAATTACAAAAAATACATAAACACTTGGAAATTACACAGCACCTTCTGAGCAACCAATGGGTCACAGAGGAAATTAAAGAAGAAATTAAACAGTATCTACAATTAAACAGTAATGATGATATAACATACTGTAACCTACGGGGCACAATGAAAGCAGTCCTACGAGGGAAATTTACAGCAGTGAGTTCTCATATTAGGGAAACAGAAAGAGCTCAAATAATGTAGAAAGTCAAACTTCTAGGAAAAGAAGAACAAATTAAACTCAAACATTGTATGAAAGAGGAAATTATAAAAAGAGCAGAAATTAATGCAATTGAGACTAAGAAAACAATGCAAAGAATCAACAAATTAGAGTTAGTTCTTTGAAAGATTAAATAAAATTGATAAACTTTCAGTCAACCTTATCCAAAAAAAGAAAGAAAAAGAAAAAAAAAAAAGACTCACCCTCATGCGATGAGGGACAAAAGAAGAAATCAGTGAATCCTGTGGAGATCTAGAAGATTATCAACAGCTACTACAAGAACATGTACCCCTATAAGACGGAATGCACAGAAGTGGACAGATTCCTAGACACATATGAACTGTCAAAACCAAACCAAGCAGATATAAAAACTTTAAAACTCAGTATCAGTTAGTAAAATTGAAAATGTAATTGAAAATTTACCAACAAAGGAAAGCCCAGGTCCTGATGGATTCACTGTTGAATTCTACAAGAATTTTAGAAATCCAATGCCAGTAATGCTGAAACTCTTTAATGAAGATGAAACTGAAGCAATACTTCCAAAATCACTCCTGAAGGCAAGTATTAACCCTGATACCAAAACCAGAGAAGAACCCATAGGTGCAAAAATCCTTAATAAATTCTTGACAAAGAGAATACAGTAAATCATCAAGAAGATTGTTCATCGTTACCATGTAGGATTCATCCCAGGGATGCAGTGACGGATCAACATACTCAGATCAATAAATGTAATATATCATATTAACAGAGTCAAAAACAAAAATTACATTATCTCTTTAATAGATGTACAATAAGCATTTGACAAAGTTCAGCATCCATTCATGATAAAAACCTTACAGAAAATTGAAATTGATTGTCTCTACCTCAATCTGATAAAAGCCATCTATGATAAACCAACAGCCAACATTATACTAAATGCTTAAAAGGTGAAAGCTTTCACTCTAACACCAGAAACATACAAATATGTCCACTATCATAATTCCTATTCAATATAGTTCTGGAAATATTAGCCAGAGGATTAGATAAGAAAAAGAAGTAAAAGGAATAATAATAGGAAAAAATGATGTTACATTGTCATTATTTGCAGATGACATGACATTCTATATAGAAGTCCCTAGAAACTTTACCAAAACACTTGTAGATTTAATAACCAAATTCAGTAGTATAGCTGAAGACAATATCAATACTCAAAAATCAATAGCATTCCTGTACACAAACAAACTTACTGAGAGAGAAGTTAGGGAAACAATACCTTTTGCAATCACATCCAAAATAATGAAATATTTAGGAATCACTCTAACAAAGGAAGTAAAATATCTATACATTAAAAATTACAGTAATCTGAAAGAGGAGATCAAAGAGGATATCAGAAAATGGAAAGATGACCCTTGCTTCTAGATAGGTAAAACAAACATAGTCAAAGTGGCCATTCTCCCAAAATTGTTATGCAGATTTAATGCAATCCCAATAAAAATACCATTAGCATACTTCACAG